GCCGGTTTCCCCCGGTCCAAGAAAACATGTGCCACTTGACACCTCGCTACACCACAACACATGGCAGGGCACCACCTGCTGTCCGCGTTTGCAGAGCAGCGGCCGCGGGGACCTAGAAGCGCCGAGATCGTCTGTGCACAAGGCACACAAGAGACAATGTCATATACATGTGCATATATGTCTATACACATTATATCATTATGTACATATATATACATGATTATATGAATTATATGTACATGGACACATGTATACATCTACATGTTGTATGCATCATCATGTGTGTATACACTCTATTCCTATTAATCCTATTATACTCTTGTATCAGCATCGAACACTGGTGTCACATGTTGTCACATGTTGTCACATCCGGAAAGCACAGCCCTTTCACTGGGTTGTGCAACGTGACATCGCTGGTGCGAGGTCTGACAGGCCTATCACCAAAAATGACAGCGACATGCTGGACAAAAATGACATGCTCGCCCTGTGACGCCGCAAACTTGGCATCTCAAAATGTCTCAATATTCGAGAGTTTGTTAATGTTTGTTAAGTTTGGCTCGGCTAGGCCGCACTTGAGAATTGTTATCGAATTGTTGTCTATACTTAGTGACTAGTCCGAACTGGCGCAAGAAAGCGAAGAACTCTCCAGATCTTTGCTCGAAAAGGTCAAATGCCAGCAGAAATTCAAGTCAACATAAGGCTGGACAAATCTGACACAGAACAAAATGAACAAAATGCAAAAGAAGAAGAAGAAGAAGCTTCATACAGGATCGGCAGAGAGGCACAAATCCGACAAATTTTGACAAATGAAATGTTCCTTGGTACTTGCTGGACCAGAATGTAAAGTGAACGTGCATTGTGACATATTGTGACATATTGTGACATATTGTGACATGTTTCAGGATTTTCCAATGGTGCATAGCTGGCATAGCTCCAACCTTCTTACCGTCAATTTCAGCTTGTCTCATGCATCATGCATCAAGGACTGCATAAGATTGATGAGTCACTGATAAGTCATTGGTGAGGGATGACATGCACGGCCTCTTCGTGACGGAGATCGGCGTGATGTTGCTTGTGTGGGGTCTACCGGGCTGGAGAAAGAGCTCAGTCTGAAGCAGTACAAGTTTCCCAACTTTCACGCTTGCGCAAAGCTTGCCATGTTTAGAGGAGAGAGATGCACTTGCTGTGCAAGCTTGTTGGACAAAGTCAGAACCCCCCAGCCTTTGTAGATTACGATCCACCACTCTAGGTGAGGCATCACTTGTGGAAGGTCTGGTAGGCCTAAGTATGGAATTCATCGCAAACAAATGTCCAGCAAACTCTTTTTTTGACTGCACAGCTTAACCCCAGAATTGATCAAAATATATCCTAATTCGCTGAAAATCAAGACAGCTGCATCCACGACAACCAAACAAACTCCACCTGATTTTCCTGTTTTGATTTTTGTCTCATGTGGCTTGTTGGACAATTGAAGGAATCTGGGATTCCAGGCTCAATGTCACTGGTACCTTTCCGAACAGGCCTAACATACCAGGGATGTGGAAGCAAAAGATAAGCAAACAGAGACAGACAGGAAACAATGCTGCAACTGAACATCGTTGTGAAAGCTGCATGTTTGTGAACGGCATGGGGGGTCCATGGACGTTCATCTGTCTGCAAACAAATGTCTTTGAGGAATGTCTCCAATCCCATGCAAAGATATGCAAAGATCATGTTCCAACGGCCTTTGTAGATTACGATCCACCACTCTAGGTGAGGCATCACTTGTGGAAGGTCTGGTAGGCCTAAGTATGGAATTCATCGCAAACAAATGTCCAGAAAACTCTTTTTTTGACTGCACAGCTTAACCCCAGAATTGATCAAAATATATCCTAATTCGCTGAAAATCAAGACAGCTGCATCCACGACAACCAAACAAACTCCACCTGATTTTCCTGTTTTGATTTTTGTCTCATGTGGCTTGTTGGACAATTGAAGGAATCTGGGATTCCAGGCTCAATGTCACTGGTACCTTTCCGAACAGGCCTAACATACCAGGGATGTGGAAGCAAAAGATAAGCAAACCAGAGACAGACAGGAAAACAATGCTGCAACTGAACATCGTTGTGAAAGCTGCATGTTTGTGAACGGCATGGGGGTCCATGTACGTTCATCTGTCTGCAAAACAAATGTCTTTGAGGAATGTCTCCAATCCCATGCAAAGATATGCAAAGATCATGTTCCAAACGCCTTTTGTAGATTACGATCCACACTCTAGGTGAGGCATCACTTGTGGAAGTCTGGTAGGCCTAAGTATGGAATTCATCGCAAACAAATGTCCAGCAAACTCTTTTTTGACTGCACAGCTTAACCCCAGAATTGATCAAAATATATCCTAATCGCTGAAAATCAAGACAGCTGCATCCACGACAACCAAACAAACTCACCTGATTTTCCTGTTTTGATTTTGTCTCATGTGGCTTGTTGGAATTGAAGGAATCTGGGATTCCAGGCTCAATGTCACTGGTACCTTTCCGAACAGGCCTAACATACCAGGGATGTGGAAGCAAAAGATAAGCAACAGAGACAGACAGGAAACAATGCTGCAACTGAACATCGTTGTGAAGCGCATGTTTGCTGAACGCATGGGGGGTCCATGGACGTTCATCTGTCCTGCAAACAAATGTCTTTGAGGAATGTCTCCAATCCCATGCAAAGATATGCAAAGATCATGTTCCAACGGCCTTTGTAGATTACGATCCCACCACTCTGGACGTTCATCTGTCTGCAAACAAATGTCTTTGAGGAATGTCTCCAATCCCATGCAAAGATATGCAAAGATCATGTTCCAACGGCCTTTGTAGATTACGATCCACCACTCTAGGTGAGGCATCACTTGTGGAAGGTCTGGTAGGCCTAAGTATGGAATTCATCGCAAACAAATGTCCAGCAAACTCTTTTTTTGACTGCACAGCTTAACCCCAGAATTGATCAAAATATATCCTAATTCGCTGAAAATCAAGACAGCTGCATCCACGACAACCAAACAAACTCCACCTGATTTTCCTGTTTTGATTTTTGTCTCATGTGGCTTGTTGGACAATTGAAGGAATCTGGGATTCCAGGCTCAATGTCACTGGTACCTTTCCGAACAGGCCTAACATACCAGGGATGTGGAAGCAAAAGATAAGCAAACAGAGACAGACAGGAAACAATGCTGCAACTGAACATCGTTGTGAAAGCTGCATGTTTGTGAACGGCATGGGGGGTCCATGGACGTTCATCTGTCTGCAAACAAATGTCTTTGAGGAATGTCTCCAATCCCATGCAAAGATATGCAAAGATCATGTTCCAACGGCCTTTGTAGATTACGATCCACCACTCTAGGTGAGGCATCACTTGTGGAAGGTCTGGTAGGCCTAAGTATGGAATTCATCGCAAACAAATGTCCAGAAAACTCTTTTTTTGACTGCACAGCTTAACCCCAGAATTGATCAAAATATATCCTAATTCGCTGAAAATCAAGACAGCTGCATCCACGACAACCAAACAAACTCCACCTGATTTTCCTGTTTTGATTTTTGTCTCATGTGGCTTGTTGGACAATTGAAGGAATCTGGGATTCCAGGCTCAATGTCACTGGTACCTTTCCGAACAGGCCTAACATACCAGGGATGTGGAAGCAAAAGATAAGCAAACAGAGACAGACAGGAAACAATGCTGCAACTGAACATCGTTGTGAAAGCTGCATGTTTGTGAACGGCATGTGGGATCCATGGTTCATCTGTCTGCAAACAAATGTCTTTGAGGAATGTCTCCAATCCCATGCAAAGATATGCAAAGATCATGTTCCAACGGCCTTTGTAGATTACGATCCACCACTCTAGGTGAGGCATCACTTGTGGAAGGTCTGGTAGGCCTAAGTATGGAATTCATCGCAAACAAATGTCCAGCAAACTCTTTTTTTGACTGCACAGCTTAACCCCAGAATTGATCAAAATATATCCTAATTCGCTGAAAATCAAGACAGCTGCATCCACGACAACCAAACAAACTCCACCTGATTTTCCTGTTTTGATTTTTGTCTCATGTGGCTTGTTGGACAATTGAAGGAATCTGGGATTCCAGGCTCAATGTCACTGGTACCTTTCCGAACAGGCCTAACATACCAGGGATGTGGAAGCAAAAGATAAGCAAACAGAGACAGACAGGAAACAATGCTGCAACTGAACATCGTTGTGAAAGCTGCATGTTTGTGAACGGCATGGGGGGTCCATGGACGTTCATCTGTCTGCAAACAAATGTCTTTGAGGAATGTCTCCAATCCCATGCAAAGATATGCAAAGATCATGTTCCAACGGCCTTTGTAGATTACGATCCACCACTCTAGGTGAGGCAGCACTTGTGGAAGGTCTGGTAGGCCTAAGTATGGAATTCATCGCAAACAAATGTCCAGCAAACTCTTTTTTTGACTGCACAGCTTAACCCCAGAATTGATCAAAATATATCCTAATTCGCTGAAAATCAAGACAGCTGCATCCACGACAACCAAACAAACTCCACCTGATTTTCCTGTTTTGATTTTTGTCTCATGTGGCTTGTTGGACAATTGAAGGAATCTGGGATTCCAGGCTCAATGTCACTGGTACCTTTCCGAACAGGCCTAACATACCAGGGATGTGGAAGCAAAAGATAAGCAAACAGAGACAGACAGGAAACAATGCTGCAACTGAACATCGTTGTGAAAGCTGCATGTTTGTGAACGGCATGTGGGATCCATGGTTCATCTGTCTGCAGACAAATGTCTTTGAGGAATGTCTCCAATCTGCAAAGATATGCAAAGATCATGTTCCAACGGCCTTTGTAGATTACGATCCACCACTCTAGGTGAGGCATCACTTGTGGAAGGTCTGGTAGGCCTAAGTATGGAATTCATCGCAAACAAATGTCCAGCAAACTCTTTTTTTGACTGCACAGCTTAACCCCAGAATTGATCAAAATATATCCTAATTCGCTGAAAATCAAGACAGCTGCATCCACGACAACCAAACAAACTCCACCTGATTTTCCTGTTTTGATTTTTGTCTCATGTGGCTTGTTGGACAATTGAAGGAATCTGGGATTCCAGGCTCAATGTCACTGGTACCTTTCCGAACAGGCCTAACATACCAGGGATGTGGAAGCAAAAGATAAGCAAACAGAGACAGACAGGAAACAATGCTGCAACTGAACATCGTTGTGAAAGCTGCATGTTTGTGAACGGCATGGGGGGTCCATGGACGTTCATCTGTCTGCAAACAAATGTCTTTGAGGAATGTCTCCAATCCCATGCAAAGATATGCAAAGATCATGTTCCAACGGCCTTTGTAGATTACGATCCACCACTCTAGGTGAGGCATCACTTGTGGAAGGTCTGGTAGGCCTAAGTATGGAATTCATCGCAAACAAATGTCCAGCAAACTCTTTTTTTGACTGCACAGCTTAACCCCAGAATTGATCAAAATATATCCTAATTCGCTGAAAATCAAGACAGCTGCATCCACGACAACCAAACAAACTCCACCTGATTTTCCTGTTTTGATTTTTGTCTCATGTGGCTTGTTGGACAATTGAAGGAATCTGGGATTCCAGGCTCAATGTCACTGGTACCTTTCCGAACAGGCCTAACATACCAGGGATGTGGAAGCAAAAGATAAGCAAACAGAGACAGACAGGAAACAATGCTGCAACTGAACATCGTTGTGAAAGCTGCATGTTTGTGAACGGCATGTGGGATCCATGGTTCATCTGTCTGCAGACAAATGTCTTTGAGGAATGTCTCCAATCTGCAAAGATATGCAAAGATCATGTTCCAACGGCCTTTGTAGATTACGATCCACCACTCTAGGTGAGGCATCACTTGTGGAAGGTCTGGTAGGCCTAAGTATGGAATTCATCGCAAACAAATGTCCAGCAAACTCTTTTTTTGACTGCACAGCTTAACCCCAGAATTGATCAAAATATATCCTAATTCGCTGAAAATCAAGACAGCTGCATCCACGACAACCAAACAAACTCCACCTGATTTTCCTGTTTTGATTTTTGTCTCATGTGGCTTGTTGGACAATTGAAGGAATCTGGGATTCCAGGCTCAATGTCACTGGTACCTTTCCGAACAGGCCTAACATACCAGGGATGTGGAAGCAAAAGATCAGCAAACAGAGACAGACAGGAAACAATGCTGCAACTGAACATCGTTGTGAAAGCTGCATGTTTGTGAACGGCATGTGGGATCCATGGTTCATCTGTCTGCAGACAAATGTCTTTCAGAATGTCTCCAATCTGCAAAGATATGCAAAGATCATGTTCCAACGGCCTTTGTAGATTGCAATCCACCACTCTAGGTGAGGCATCACTTGTTGGACAGAGAAGAAACAATGCTGCGAACATCGTCGTTCTGCGAATGGCCTTGGTGGACTCGGATCCACCACTTTGGATGGTCGGGTCATCCTGAGAAGGAACGGAGGAAAAGCTATGTCGGTGAAGAATGAAACTCATATGTTACACACAGATGTTACACACGAACTCATAGCTGTCATAGCTGCTTAGCATTGCTTAGCTCTGTTTCTTTAATCGGTTTTCTGAGCCTTGGTGAAGCTTCCATCATCTGCCTCAGAGCACCGAGCTCATGGCACCAGAACTTTTAGAGAACAAGAAACCGGCAAAATTAAAGCAGAACAAGAAACTTCATTAAAGCAGCTAAGCGAAGCTACAAAAATCTCCAAGGTGGATACGAAAAGAAACTGGAAAGAAATCCTTTGAAAAACACAGAATCCCACCGAGGCTATGAAAAACAAGGATCTATACTTGCCAAGACTGGCAGCGCCTGTATTAAGTTGATGGCAGGCGATACACTGTATACCACTGACTTTGGCAGGCGATTGATACGGGACCCTTGGAGGGTCGATTTTGAACATGGTACGGGGCGGAATGGGATGGGACATGGTGGGACCAATGGCGCCTGACCACATACACTTCTGCTCAAGTGGGACCACTATGGACCACTTGATTCCAGGACGGTTCCAGGCTTTTTTGGGGGGCACTTCAACCTGCCGCACTTGGTGCTGGGCTAAGCATACAGTTGGATGTGGGCGAGCTGGGACTATAGACTGTATGAATCTATAATATATATATATATATATATACATAATATCATTAAGGTAAACTTGCTGGGGCACTTCGTTCACTTGAACTTCCACATGTGCTTGACATTGCTTGACCATACATTTACATTTTCCTCAAACCTACTGCCACGCTGTCTGGTGTGGGGTGATGTAGGATGGGGGCTGGGCAAGAAGCTGGGCTTGTCCACGCATTCACTTGAAATCAGGTGAACATGGACACGCACTTGCTGCTACTCTGCCGTGCTCTTTACTTGGACTTGAGCATGCTCTTGTCACTACTCACAACAAGGGCACAGATTCAATTGTTCGATGTATTCAATATGTGAAAAAATACCTACGTAGTTTTGTGATGCAACGTTTGCAGTGAATGCATTGATGCAACATGATGGGTTTGCCGGGGGGGTTTGCCGTGAGTCGGAATGAGTTTGCAAGAAGGGTAACATATGTTAAGATCATGTATGTCCATCCGCAGCCGTTTAGTAGGAGGAAATTTCATGGTATTTTCGGTGTTTTTCATTGGTTTCACATTAGCATTTGCAAGATGTTTGCATGATAAGGGATGATTGTTTGAACCAGGTTCATGTTTTGCGAACAAGATTTTTTCGCGGGATCCCGCGGAAAAATTAGCAGGATTTTTGAACTTGTGATTTGTTGGAAAGAGAAATAAAGTTGTGTGTTTTATTGGAACAGCATAATTAGATTTCCTTCGGAGCCATGTTGAGTTTCGATGAATTGTTCGAATGTTTGGTGCTATTGTTCGATGAATTGTTCGAACCTTATTACTCCCCCCCCATGTTTTTGTTTCGACCTAATACCTACAGAGGTACATGCATGAGTATTGAGCACATTTATATGCGCCCTTCAAGGCTCAAGAGGTATATAGAGTAACCCTGTGGACAAGCACTGACCGGCAACAGGCTGAGAGTAAAATAGTGCTGTCATTGGGGAAGACGCCTTAGCTGATCTTGAAGTAGACGCTAGGGCCCCTCTTCACCCCACCCCCCCACACCCCACGGACAGCTATTCCAATGTTGGATAATGAGTTCTATGGAACGCAAGCTGCCTGAACGTTATTACTCCCCCCCCGGGGTGGGGTGGGGCATGTGTTAACGTTCATGTGAACTTGCTAGGTAAGTGGACTCGTCTCTGTGTGTGTGCCGTTATGTGCGTGTAGACATGGGTGGGGTGGGGGGGGTGATAAAAGCGTCATTGATGCTGGGAACAAGGGTGGGATCCATGGACTTAAATCACTTGACTCAGCCATTTGGGGTTTGGTTGGGGGGGTGGGGGGGAACAAGGGTGGGATCCATGGACTTAAATCATCACTTGACTCAGCCATTTGGGGTTTGGTTGGGGGACCCCCCCACCACCCCCCCACCCCCCCACCCCCCACCCAATGGTCACGAGCTCAGAAACCTTGTTTGCTTCGGCAAACCGCTACGGTTGACCCAACATGATGCAACACAAAAATGCCGTTTAAATGCCCTTGGATGGCTCGACTTCTCGGCTTGTCTCTGCTTGTCTCGGCTCCTAGCATCAGCTCACTGGAGAACCTTGGACCCCGTATCTCGTTGGATGTTGACGGCAAGAGTTTCTAAAGCACAAATTCATGGCTACAAACGGGAGATCTTGGGAGTGGAATATAACATAATATATATCCTAATATAACTAAATAATACTAAATATAACTATTGCATTGACATGATTTGACATGCACATCATGGCACATCATGCACTATTATTGTTGGAAAGCACCAAAACAGCTTCAACCGTGGAAAGCATATCGATTCAACGGCATGTGCCACGTGTCAAAGTTGTGAAACAAATCTTAAGAGAGTCTATGGCAGTCTATGGGTCAATGCGAGTCTGCTCCAAGCGACAGAAAGCGGCAAACATTGCGTTCGGAACTCACCAACTTTCCCACTCGGAAATCAAGAGATAATGGCCTAGGCCAGGCGGCCAGGCTGGGCGACTCGGCAACTGGGGCAACTTGTACCCGACTTGTGCGATGTCAAATACCGAAGCACTTCAAGGAGTTGGGGCCGGCTTAAAAGTACCGAAGCTTGTACGGCTTAATCAACATCATAAACCTGCACCAAAGGCGTGATCTATGTGCTCTCTATGTGCTCTTGCCAAATTTACGCAGTTTACGCAAACCGCAATACTCTCAGCTTTCCGCCTCCCTTGTGTAATGGCTTGCCCAATCTGATAGACCTAGACACTGCATCATTCTTCGATTTCAGGCGTGCGACATCACTGAACCAGGCAAGACTTTGGCGAAAGCACAAGCTCCAACACCTTGCATTGATTTGCATCGTGGATCATCGTGGACTAGGGGCATTAGTTACGGCATTAGTTACACTGAGTGCACTGTAGAACTGGGAAAAAGAGCCCTTTCCTCCGATTGCCGTCCGAAAGGCCAGCACACCCAAGCCGACAGAGACATGGTCCTGCGCCCAGTGCTTGGGGTGCAGTGGCACAGCAAACCACTGCAGTGGCTTTGCACAAAGGCGAACCAGGCGAACCAGGCGAACTAGGTACAGTAAAACAACTGTGACACACAGGTCACCCACAAAGAGAAGAGCTGCTAACCGACATCGAACAGCTGTGCTTTATACTATACATCTTTATATATATATTTATATATCTTTATATCGTCAGGAAAGGTTCTGTCCCTTCTACTGTTCTACATTTTTCTACACTCATTCACTACTCTCTCTCTCCAACCTCTCAAGGTCACATTTCCACCTCCACCAGTCTGGTTTTCGTGTCAAAGCTTCCACATGTTCAAGGAATGTTCATGTTCGTTGAAACTTCACCGGCAACTGCGGCAACCCTGCCTTCGTCAGCTTTCGTGAAAAACACAAGGCTGCCTGGCAAACACCGAAAGCAGCAGGTGCACTGCGCACATGCGCAGCACCATCGCAGCACATGTGTCTGACGCGACTCATGATTCCTTTATGTTTGGTGCAAAGAAAAGGGAGGCATGTCTGTAGCTGAAGCCGCCCCAGACGAGAGGTTCGAGATCTGACCGAGAATGCCTAAGATCTGACCGAGAATGCCTAAGGAATGGCTAAGGAATGGCTAAGGAATGGCCAAGGAATGGCTAAGGTGGCTAAGTTGAAACGACTATGGAAAGCCTTGGAGAAGTTGAAGTCCTCCCAGCGGCACAAGTCCACTTCCAGCGCTGGCGCTTGACGCCTAGCAGAAACGAAACGGACTAAAATTAGAAAAAACCCAAGATATCCAAGATCGATAAACCGGATAAACATGGAATAAACAGCTTGAGTTGGAGCATGTTGCTGTTGTTGAAGTTTCCTCGGGTGATTTGCTGATGTGTTATCCTGCCAGGTGCACGGTATGAACGGTGAGAAAGCAAAGGCCGCCCTCGGTCTCTGCTCCACGTAGGCTTCACAGTTCTGTGGGTTTTTGATGGACTCCCATGGACTCCCATGGACTCCCCGACAGCACCTGCTAATGGACACATGATACCTCCGGCAAAAGGAGTCTAAAAAATCGAAGTACCTCAATCTGCAGACTTGCGAAAAGCACAAGAGTTGCGAAGGGTTGGAACTTCCGATATTGTGATTGGAAAAGACATCGAAATGGAAAAAAGCTCAGGTTCCGCACGGTCCTACGCAGTTGTTCCGGAACCGGCGTGCCACCTTCGAAATCAAAATCATGAATCTTCAAAGCACGAAATCCAGTGGTCTCCAGTGCTCTCCAGTGTTCTGCCTGCCAGCCGAAACGGCCAAAGTTGGGCACAACCAGGCCGTGGTTCTGCCTAAGAGAAAGCAAAAACAAACAACTGAGTCGAAACTGTTAAGTACGTGAACTGAGTAGGTGAACATAGATATGTATCAAACATGTAGCAAAAGATGTGCAGCCATGAATCTGGATGTCTTTCATGTGTATATATATGTATATATATATATATACGTATATATATAGGTCCTAAGAATGACGCAAAAACACATTCACTCGCAGCTGATCTCCCTTGTATAGACATCTACCTAGACTCCGCAGAGATCTAGCGGGGACAAGCAGACATATACTGTATAGACCGGACCAATTGCAAAGAAAATACAATACAAAAAGCAAAACTTTTGAGACCTAGAAATTGGAGAGTAGTGAAAGAGTGTTGGAAAACAAGTTGGAAACAGAATAGAAGGAAGGATAAGGAAGGTGTGAAAAGGGTTGAAAGTGTATAGGAAAGTATGGAAAATTTCTATAAAGGATCTTGGAAAGGAACTTGGGAAGGTAAAAGGCAAATCAAACGGGAACGAAGCAGGAATGAAGCGAGGCCGAAGGACGGTGAACGACAGAAGCAAAAAACGATCCGGGAAACGGAGGGACTTTTCTGGTCTTTGGATGTCTTTTGTAGTTCTCAACTAATTTCAGCTCTTGAACGACTTCAAAAGACTTCAAAAGATTTCAAGATATTTTTCAAGATATTTCAAAGTTGAATCTCCAAACCGTACTTAAACTATGACGCAGCATGACGTGGCATTACGTGGCATCCAATGGCATCCCATCCCATAGGATCCCTCCCGTATGACTTGCCAGAAATTGCCACAAATTGCCACGTATCTCTGCATGTATGTTCTATTGATTTGGTTAATCTGATCTCTCTCGTCAGCCTCACAAAATCTTACAAGCATTTGTGTGGTCGTCGCAAGTAGTCACAAGTGCGAAGAGCATCTTTCTGTCTCCAAAGCATTTCCAGCTGAGTAATTTGAGCATTTCGTTGAAGCATTTCATTGAAGTGTTTAAACGTGTCAGTTGAGCAAACTGTCTGCAGTCTGTTTCCCATTTCAAGTCGTAGCGTCGTAAATCTAAGGCTGCAGGCTCCATGCATGAGAAAATGTAGCGATCCAGGGTGTCCCAGACCTTGCGGCGCACCATGAATCACCACTGTGCACTGATGAATCACAGTGTGCCGAACTGGTATCAGAATCTCAGTGCGAGACAATCAATTCAGTCAAAAAGTGATATGTATATAATATATAGTTATAGTTATAATTGCACAAACAGTACGTATTATATTTTGCATCTACATTGCAACTACATATGAAATGCGGAAGCGCATGGAGTTCCTGAATGTACCTGACACCACAACAACGCACGCGAGAAATACCAAATGATCAAGTGACATCAAGTGATCAACTGGCAATGCCTAAAATCGGGCTCCTGTCGGATGAGAAAGTTAGAAAATGTTAGAAGGGAATAGAAGGGACATCTGAAATGCAACGATGGCCACATAATGCCAGATATGCTATGGTAATCTATGGTATGCTATGGTCTGCTATGGTCTGCTATGGTACCTGAAATGTACCCAATATGGTCCCCACAAGGCCAATCTACACGAATCACAAATCATGATCCGTGATATTCCGTGATCAAATCCAGGACTGAACATGACGGGACCACGTCGGACCACGTCGGACCACGTCGGACCACGTCGGACCTCTCTCAGAGGGAGCTCTTCGGCTGACACACACCGTGCGAACTTTCGACGAGCATCCTCACAGGTCTCACAGCCCAAAAAACACATGCGGTTCAGGTCAAACAATGTCAAACAATGTCAAACAGGAGCCCAACAAATACCTGTGGTGTGCATGGCTGCATGGTTGTTTCATGGCAAGCTGTGGCTTTGGATATCAGTGTCACCCTTCGCGGATGCAAAGGAAGTCGCCGCATTATGAAAGCGTATGAAATCAGATATTGCCCTGGATTACTAACAAGAAACCAACAGGGGCTGTGGCTTAAGATGTGAGCCAGCTGGTTCAACATGCACGTCATACATCGTCATACACTGAACAAAAACATACAAGATGTTCAAGATGTTCAAGTTCCTCATTAGATCTTAGCGTCTTAGCATGTCATGCAAAGACGTTCAATATCAGTAGAAGTTGCATTCAAAAAGGCTGCTCTCACAGCCCTCAAGTCACTGTACTCATCTGTATTCCATCTCTACTGGTGGTCTAGTTACTGGTCTAGTTGGGCGTGATTCTGTATGACACCGTGATGCCACCAATGCGAGGGGCTTCCACGAGTTTGTCCACATTGTAGATCGACATCCAATCGACATCCAGCTTGGGAAATCAAAGCACTCAAGCTATGCTTTCAGCTTTGTGGTTGCATCGAATCATGAAGCAATCAACATCAATCAACAGTTTGTTGCGAAAGTTGCAACAAAATGTACCAAAATTCGCAACAATTGTATGCTTGGAGAATCGATTGGCTGATGTAATCCGTCAATGATTTTAACATATTGACTCTGGCCACATCTGAGCCGTCGCGTCAATCATGGTCAATGAGTCATGGGTTGTAAGCTTGGCAAAAGATGGCAAAAGTACACCACAGAAATCTGCTGTGTTGTTGCCAGCTGTGCTGACGCAAAGGAATTGATGCGCAGGACGAGAGGTGCAACACTGTGACACTGTTACACTGTGACACCGTGCCAGTCAACAGATGTCAACAGTCTCTTCTTGCAAATCAAACAACACTGGCACAGTCTCAGTCTCACACCGATGAAACGGAATGATCTTCTGATTGTTCCTTTCATACCAAATGCGTCCAAATGCGTCCCATACCAGCCACTTTTGATGACGAATTCGCCAGTCCGAATTGTCCAGGCTTCTTGTGACCAGGTTCAGACTGTCACAGCACACGCAACACGCAACATGGCGCAACTGTGCAGTGTCTCCACTGATCTCCACTGGCACTGTGTCCAGTGTTTCCGGTGTTTCCGTGCCACTGTGACATGCATTTCTGTCTCTCGTGAGCACAAATCGAACCAAATTGCTCACCTCGCAGCGAAATCCTGCAAGGCACACAGATCAATCTGGTAGGATGTACCTGCTGCGGACTCGTTAACCTTGACTCGGTGATACATACCTTGACTCGGTGATAATTCTCTAAGTGACCATATCACACCATGTCCGTCATATGTTTGCTGTTTCAAGAGCCTCAAGCTCAAGGCATTCTAGCTTTTGAAGTCCATGGGGCGCAAATTATGAAGGCCACTCAAGGCTTTGAACACCTCTCAAGCAAAATCATGATGGTAGTAGAGGATGACAGAATTTCTTCAGAATATGATAGACAGGATTATATATATATATATGGAACACACATATATATATATTAGAATGATTATACTTATTGCATTTATTTCTTAGTTACTCTTAGATACTCTTAGCTACTTGATTTCTGTAGTTGCCTTTGATCCCATCCACGTCCTCACACATGGTCTTGCCGGAGTTACAGCACATACCTCCAACACAGGCAGGACAAAAGTGGAGCCGCATACCTTCTGTGATATTCTTGCAGAACACCAGCAGAACACAAGCAGAACACAAGCAGAACACCAGTGCAAAATATGTTCAAATGTCCAAAGTTCTGCACAAAGGTCAATGAACAGGAAGAATGGCATCTTTCGCTAGCAGCCAAAATCATGGCCAAGCTCATTGGGCCTATGAGGGTTTCCAAGTACCACAAGTACCACTCCTGCTATGCTAAGAAAGGACATGTCAGTTACGACCCCAGACATTGTTGTGTATCTATATATATATGTATAATCTGTGCATATAATATTATATAGTATATCCATATGTATTATAATATATATCCTCTGTAGAAATGTTTTGAGTATCACAAATATCACAAATCACACAGATCTCGTTCCGACTAATTCACTGAGGATAGAAGTTGCGCTGAGAGGAGCTTGGGAACAGCTCGCCTCCAGGATATTGAATGGTCTGTTCGAGGGAGCCCCAGCCAGCTTGAATATCGGCACCTTGGTCGCCCAGATTTAAAAATGTTTGTTTTATTGGCTTCAAAAGGGGTTTAAAGATATTTAAAGGCTTTTGAAGTTTTATAGATTGTTTTGGAAAGTTTTTTTCTAGATTCTCCAAGGACTTTCCTGACCACCAACGCGAAACCAGCGCATTGATTTTTGACAGAGCATGAAATGCGAAACCAAAGTCTTCACAGAGCATGAGGCCATGAGGCCATGAGGTGAGGCCTAGCACTCTACACACGCTCCCGACAAAGCATGAATGACACTTGCGTGGTAAAGTCCACTGAGCAAAGAAGCGAAACGGAAAAAGTGTGATTCTTAGTGTGAAAAACTGTAAAAATACAGCATTTAAATATCCGCCGACCCCGGCTGCGCAAGGGGGAGCGCGTTAGGGAATAAGACAGCAGCACCCAGCCAGTAGCCAGCAGTCAATATCCGCCGACCCCGGCAGACGCAAGGGGGAGCGTGCCAGGGAATAATACTTTTGACTCTTGTTTCGGACTACTACTACTACTACTACTACTGCCATGGTGTTTTCCCATCCGGCAGGTGCCTTTTGAACAGAAGGAGTCACAGGAGCAGGAGCAGCAACAGGAGGGTTGTATGTCTCATTGTACAAAGAGTGGTATAAAAATTGGTCGAAAACCATAAAACCTTGTTCAAAACTATTGTTTTTCTAGGGTTTCAGAAGGGACGTTAGGGACTTTTTGGGCTCGATTTTGGCGCTGTTCCGCCCTTCAGGGCCACTGTGTTTCCCTGTCCGGGAGGGTGCGTTTTCAGCCTCGGGAGGAAGAGCAGCAGCAGCAACAGGAGCAACAGGAGGGTTGTATGTCTCATTGTACAAACAGTGGTATAAAAATTGGTCGAAAACCATAAAACCTTGTCCAAAACGATTGTTTTTCTAGGGTTTCAGAAGGGAACAATGACCCTTTGCCGGGGGACCCTGTTGGGTCCCCCTCCCACCGGTCACGTACGTCGATTCATTGACTCCGGGGTTTTTGTTTTACCGGTGGGGGGTTCTTCCCGGAGTCTCCTCGAGGTACGTGGGGCTCCTTGGGTTGCCCTTCCCGCCCTGATCTGTTCGTTCGAGGCCGCATCCTCGAGGTTCAAGTTCGATGGTAACTTTGTGCGAGATCTCGAACACCTTCAGGCGATAGAATCTCTCGAAAAATTGTGTTTTTCTAGGATTTCAGAAGGGACGTTAGGGACTTTTTGGGCTTGATTTTGGCGCTGTTCCGTCCTTCAGGGCCACTGTGTTTCCCTGTCCGGGAGGGTGCGTTTTCATCCTCGGGAGGAAGAGCAGCGGCACCAACAGGAGCAACAGGAGGGTTGTATGTCTCATTGTACAAACCGTGGTATAAAAATATTGTTTTTCTAGGGTTTCAGAAGGGACGTTAGGGACTTTTTGGGCTCGATTTTGGCGCTGTTCCGTCCTTCAGGGCCACTGTGTTTCCCTGTCCGGGAGGGTGCATTTTCAGCCTCGGGAGGAAGAGCAGCAGCAGCAACAGGAGCAACAGGAGGGTTGTATGTCTCATTGTACAAACAGTGGTATAAAAATTGGTCGAAAAACATAAAACCTTGTCCAAAACTATTGTTTTTCTAGGGTTTCAGAAGGGACGTTAGGGACTTTTTGGGCTCGATTTTGGCGCTGTTCCGTCCTTCAGGGCCACTGTGTTTCCCTGTCCGGGAGGGTGCGTTTTCAGCCTCTTTCCCTGTCCGGGAGGGTGCATTTTCAGCCTCGGAAGAGCAGCAGCAGCAACAGGAGCAACAGGAGGGTTGTATGTCTCATTGTACAAACAGTGGTATAAAAATTGGTCGAAAACCATAAAACCTTGTCCAAAACTATTGTTTTTATTGTTTTTCTAGGGTTTCAGAAGGGACGTTAGGGACTTTTTGGGCTCGATTTTGGCGCTGTTCCGTCCTTCATGGCCACTGTGTTTCCCTGTCCGGGAGGATGCGTTTTCAGCCTCGGGAGGAAGAGCAGCAGCAGCAACAGGAGCAACAGGAGGGTTGTATGTCTCATTGTACAAACAGTGGTATTAAAAAAAAATAAAAAAAAAATTGTCGAAAACCATACAACCTTGTCCAAAACTATTGTTTTTCTAAGGTTTCAGAAGGGACGTTAGGGACTTTTTGGGCTCGATTTTGGCGCTGTTCCGTCCTTCAGGGCCACTGTGTTTCCCTGTCCGGGAGG